TGAAGGAAGAAGTCAAGGAGATAATGTATGTAAGCATGTGGAATAGAAGAAGAAAGAAGCCTTCCATGATCAAGGACAGCTCAGCACCAGATGACGAGGAATGGGATCTTCCCAAAGAAAGTGCTTCGTCCTCGACACAACCTCCCAAAAGGGAGAAAACTATTGGAGTGCGACGGACCACCGTCGGCTTGAATCAGAAAATAAGACTGTTGCAACGTCCAGAGGTAGCTCTGTGCTGCATCTGTGAACAGCCTACAGGATATTTCTGTTTCCAGTGTGGCAACATATTATGTGCTGACTGCAGGCTTACTCCAACAGGAAGACAGGCCATGTGTTCATGCATTCTTCCTACAGAATGTCTTCAAGAGTCCACCGTCTCGGCCGGTATGCCTCCGAAGAAAGACGGGTTTTATATGAAGCAGTCCTCACACATCAGGAGCTCGAAGAGGCCGTGACTGAGAGGAATAAGTACTGCGAGATTGTTCGAAACAATTTCACTCGAGCCAATCCAGATGTTGATCCATCCAGTCTGGAAGACATTCGGAGTAGACCCATACGTACGTACACCAGTAGTACAGAACCTCCAATCCTGGAGGAATATAAGGAGATCAACAGTCAGCATATCAACGTTAGAGGTTCGAGAACATGCCACCCGGCATCTTTCCTCGCCCTTACGGGCCATGAGGACAAAGAAGTGCTGGACGCACACTACGAAATCGTCCGAAACCGGATAGGAGGAGTAGATCGAAGGCTCCAATCCGGATTCCGCCACACTTGGCGTAATAGTGTGTAATTGGGGAACCTGCTCCAGACGGAAATCCCAAGAAAAAGCTCAAACCTGAGAAGGGATTCAATTATCATCCGTTGATCGATATGTGCTTCCACAACTCGGCACACATTACCCTCGTACTCGAGGCAGGTGCCCTAAATTCCGAATACGCCATTGAGATCATGAGGAAATATCAATACCGTGGAATGATGATCCACACCCCAACGGGTGAACCTCCAGCACCGTCGATGTTCATGGGTGTGAAAGGAGATCCGACCACGGATATTGCACTCATTCATCATTTCTACAGGCATCGAGAAGTCAAGCCAAAAGAAGGAGGCCCACGAAAGCAAATCTGGGCCTGTCATGGCGCTGTCTGTAGGATTACCTTCGGTTTTCACTTCAACATTCCTGAAGCGAAGGAACGGATTCACCCGCAAACGGGTCAGCGCTTCACCCGAGAGGAATACACAGAGTACTTGAGTTCAGACCCTCTCAAGGGTAAAAATCCAGATAAAGATGGTCCAAAAGACGCCTCATATTTGGCACCAGATGCCTGGCTCACGACGTCTGATTTGGATCCAATGCCGATTCTCTGTGAATGGAATGGCATTGAGGCTGGAGAAGAACTCACGCCAGCCGATTTCGAGACTTACACAGAACTCTTCTTCCAAGAAGCTCCTGCCGATTTGGAGGAGATGTGGTGTACGAAGGGACCTTTCAAGGTCGTGACCGTAGCACTCATCCACTTCAACTCCTTCATGACTCACAAAGAGCAGCGAAGGCAAGAATACGTTCAGGCATTTCTTGATGAAGTCCTACCGTTCAAGCCTGACATTATTACAGGTGACATGAACAACATCGCATCAAAACTTAGATATCGTGGCGGTGATGTTCATCCTACGAACAGCTTGTTTACTCTCTATCTAGAGAAAAAGCTGGCTGCATACAACCGCATGGCAGATAGGCACTCAAAAGTGCGTCACTCCTGTTTCAACAATTAAGACAAGGAAAGACTAGCCCATGCAGATAGGTTGCCTTCGGAGCCTAACGAAAGGTACGCAGACTTGGACTGCATCAATGCCTACATTCTGGACTGGGGAAAAACACCGCACACGGAGACTCAAAGTCAGAAGGCTGTAACAACCGCCGTTCAGGGACTACTGGGAAAGAGTGTCCGATCGGTGGAATGCCGTAAACGGCAGTGATTTCATTGATGCGAGACTCCACATTACCACAAAAGGGTACTACAGTACTTTCTCCAATACTGACCTGTGGTTGAGTCCAAGCGACAAGGACTGGCGCAGTCCTCTTGGCTTTACAATTCAGCCAATGTCCACGAAGGGACATCATGCCAGATCCGACCAACAGGTCGAGAAACTCGCCAGAAGGCGACAGTCTTACCAACAAAGGTGGTCAGACTATTCCGAATGGCAGCAGCCATCTCAAGGTTCCTTCACTTACTCGTCAGGCAACCGTTGGTACGACCGACCACGGTCTTCAGGTAGTTAGTTCTTACAACTATTCACGTTGGTGGGAGAAACCTCAGTTACAAAGACCTGCCGAGCCGTCACATCCTCCACCAGGAAGAGAACGAGCTACATCGTCTCAGGATGAACCGGCAAGGTCGAGATCAAGACACCCGAACTCAAAACCAAACGTGGTTGAGAAGTTGGGCATGTCTCTGGATGAACTGCAAGAGCTCCAACAGGAGCCTTCTCCCACACAAAGCGACATCGAAAAACATGAGCGTGAAACATCAAACCTGATGGATGCACCCCGGACGGAAGAAGAAGAAGAATCCTCTAGCAGGAGGAGAAGAAAATCTCCACGTCCACCGTCAGCACCAAGTGCAAAAGCAGCCAAAACCGCTGCTACTGCAGCAGGCTTGTCGAACTGGTTTGGTCATCGCAACCGCGGCGGCGCAAACGCAGAATCAACAGAGACAGATCAGTCTTCTCTGCCTGACTCACTACCAAGTGAACAGGATTATTCTCTTCTCAGCATTTTCTGGAATATTTTCCTTATGCTGATGGGACTTCGATGGATGTGGAAACAACTGACAAGATCTCCTGTCCAGTGCATGGAGCGTCAAGTTCCGAAGTCCAAGGCAAAGGCTAAGGCCAGCGCTCCCTTCCTCGAACCCGAGGACGAGCCTCAAAGCAGAGATATTCCTGGACCCAATCGAGTCAATGCAGGCGAGACCACAGACCTAAGGCCGAGATGGCACACATCAAGAAGTGATCATTATCACCTTTCTGATGCATGTTATCAACTGAGATCGGCTAGGGATCTGTCAAGAAAAATTCTCTGCAAGACATGCCTGCATGCCGTAACAACGGTGGAGATAAGAAGAAACGATCCATTCAACAGAGGTGACACACGACCACGTGGCACAGAACGAGACATTGAAAGACTTCAGGCCTACGAAAGTGCAAGCAGCATTCCTCACGTAAGACAGACGTGGCAGGATGCATTAGCTTCTCAGCTAGCAGATGAACAACTCGGTGTTACTTACACCTCCTTCCCAAGGAGTTCTACTGCCAAAACCAGAGGACAATCAGCACTATCAAGTGCGACAGCATCCATACCTGCTGCTGTGCCGCCAGTGCCAATTATGGCCAAGAGCCTGTCACCTCCGCCGAAAAATCCTCCGCCAAAGGCCAAGGCATCCTCTCAAGGATCGACGCCCATGACCTCAGCAAGACCCAAAGGTCAAACAAGAAGAGGAGGTGTGAATAAGCGCATTCAGAGAAAGGCGCTCAGAGAAGCCCATAATCAGGGCTCTGCAATCACGTCGGTACAGCGATCCAAGAAACCCAACAGGGTGCAGCCGTGAATCAGATGAGCAGGAATCTCGTGCTCAGACACATCGATACCATCGATGCCACAATCAGCTCGTCTGAGACCTTCACTCAAAGTATTCTTCAGTACATCGAGACATTCGATGATCATATAACAATATAGACATATGCAAGACAAATAACACAAACAGCGAACACAGAGCTTGCAATGTAGAGTAATGCGAGCAACTACATATTGAATTGTAGTTTAAGCACGACTGGAGTACATAAGCAAGAAGTAATTAGTATGGATAACAAGTACTTGTTTACGAACATGATAGGTTGTAAGATGAAAGATAACGCGTCGCAGTTATCAAAAAGAATTAAAAAAGGCCCAGAAATGGAAGAGTTTAGGGGTTGTATTATTTGATTGGCACAAGGAATCCCAGCGAATGGAAAAGCAGCAGATACAGCCAGAGGGGAGGGGGTAAAGGGTTCGGGACTGGGGGGGGGGGGGGGGGGGAAATAAAAAACAAAAAAAAATTGATAGGCTGAGTATTTGCGCGCGCGGGACCATTGGTGGCAATTATAGTAAAAGGAATAGGCCGGGGGGGGGGGGGGCCAAAAAAAAGAGGCGGACGAGTCAGCTACCAGTTTTTTTTTTTTCCCTCCCCCCCCCCAGTCCTGAACCCTTTACCCCCTCCCCTCTGGGTGTATCTGCTGCTTTTCCATTCGCTGGGATTCCTTGTGCCAATCAAGTATAGACGTGAATTATGAACATATACGCCAACAAGCTATGAGCAGGAAGAAAAGTCATTATCTTAAGAAACATGTTCGCTAATATGCAAGGAGCTGTGATATATGCTGCAATAGAGAGGATACAAGAAACTGGGGCCTGTAGTGTGTTATTTTCCTGTATGTATATATATATATATATATATATATATATATATTATATATTATGTATATTATATGTTATATGTTATATATTAGATATTATATATTATATATTATATATTATATATTATATATTATATATTATATATTATATATTATATGTTATATGTTATATGTTATATATTATATATTATATATTATATATTATATATTATATATTATATATTATATATTATATATTATATATTATATATTATATATTATATATTACATATTATATATTACATGTTATATATTATTTTATCAATATTATATATTATATATTATATACTATATATTATATATTATGTAATATATACTATATATTATATATCATATATTATATATTATAGATTATAGATTATAGATTATATAGATTATAGATTATAGATTATACATTTATACATATATACATCTTCTTCCAGACGCAGCGAGAGAGTCCGCCTAGCGAGTCCGTAGCAAAGCCACTGTGGGCTTCGGCATCTCTAGGATGCAAAACTACCGCACATGCATCAGGCCATATTAGCCGTCAATGCAATTCCATCCACTCCATTGTCAGCCTCAGCAAGCCACAGTTGAGCAGATTGCCCAAACAAGATATGCGTTGTGCGCCAACGCAGTGTGATCTGCAGCTGTGCATGGTTGGGCAGACATACCATCATCAGTAATCCACGACTGTTCCTTTTTCCTCCACACGCATCTGTAATGCCCCGAATCTGCCAGTGCTCCATAGTGGACAATGCTCGCCACCACCTCGAAAGACTTGAGATGCACAGTTGGGAGGAGATTATCAGCATAGACAGGAAGCAAAATGGTTGTCAGAATATCACCCACACGTGTTGAGTCCTTGACTGTACGCTTGCGCCTCCAAGTCCCCACAGCATTGAACCTCATCAGCTGGAAAAGTACTGCGGTCGTGTCAGCTGTAAAGGCATGCTGAATGGCTGAGTCATCTTGAGCACTCCACTGATCAATGCAAGATTGTAATGTCATGGATGCCCCTGACAGAGGAAGGAGCACAGGAGCAGTTGCAGGACCGGAGTCCACAATCCGGCATTGATTGTCAAAGGCCTGCCTGGCTTGCCACGTGCCCCGTAATAAAGGCGAGCGAATCCTCATCACAACATGTTGAATAAATTCACCAACATCATGCTGCTGGAAGGGGGCATCCCAAGGACTGATAAACATGATCCAAGTCAGCAGTCGACTGATATCAAGCGGAGCAGCTCGCTCAAGCAACGCTTGGTAGGCATGTCGGAGTTGCCCCAAGTCAGCCTCACAGATGGACCCAAGACTGTGTATGACGAAGAGCAGTGCATTCAGAGCACTATTCATGTAGCAAGTTTTGCTGGTGGGGTTGGCAAGACTGATGGCAAGGAGGTCAATGCGATAAAGCACAAGCGAGGTGAGAGAGTGAGGCTCTGACCTTCCCACAGGAAGTGCTGCAAGGTCTGAGCTAGGTTCGAGTCGACTGGACGATCCCTGCGAAGCCGGGCACCAAGGAGGTGCAGCACTGCGCAGTTGATGAGGGAGTTGAAGAGACGCCAGAGGCTGTCCCCATCCTGTCTCAGCTCGATCTCCAGAACAAACTGAACCCACTGAGTCGTGTAGTTTTGGCTCAGCGGCCTCACACTGCCAAAGTGGCGTATCGTAGTGCCATTGATGAGCCTCTCGATCTCCCCCACATCCTGTAGGAGTGAGTCGTCCACCGAGCGACTCTCCACACGTGGAATCAAGACCTCCTTCTGCATCTCTGGGTCCCACTTCATGTAGTTCCAGTTGCCCTGAGAGTCCACCCACTCCATCTCGTGAGCCTGCTTCTGCATCTCGACCATAGCCGCCGCCGTGAAGCCCTGGATCCGTCCTTTGAGTTCGTGAATCAGCTCTCGCAACATGGTCTCGCGCAGGGAGGATTGTACCTTGTTCTGGTCCATCAGTTCCCTCCATTTTTTCGCGACCTGAGTCATGAACGGCAAAACGGACCCCGGAGGATCGGGGCGAAAGAAGAAGTGGAGCTTCATGTCCTGTTGCACGGATTGCAACCGCTTTTCGTGCCGCAGAAGAAGCCTCGCCATCTGGCCCAGGATTGGAGGGTGTGTGGAGGACGATCCCCCTGAGGCACATAGTTCCACGCCTGAGCATCCCACTCCGTCAGTTGCTCTCCTCCGCTTCCCGAGGTACTCCACCAAGCTTGCTTGTTTGGGCCCTGACTCGGACCTGGTCTTTGACCTTTGCCCTTGTTCTTTCCCTTGCCCTTGCCTTTTCCTTTGCCCTTGGCCTTGCCCTTGCCCTTGTCCGCCGCTGCAGACTCGGTGCCCTGCCCCGCTTGGGGCATCGCTGCATCTGCCTGGTCCTGTCTCGGTCTCTTGGTCGACGGAGGAGTCGTGGTTGGGGAGACCCCTGTCGCAGGTGGATGACAGCAGGACACAAGGTGCTTGAACATCGCCGTCTCCTGGTCGCGAGCCGATTGAAATAGCGGTCCCTGCATGGAAGTTGGACTGGGACTGACCGGTGCAGGAGTCATGGCTTCGTGAATAGACCTCGATAAAGCAACAGAGGATAATGACGTGGCAACGTTTCCAATGTGTCTGCTTATCGAAGACCGTTTCGAGACAATAGGGACATGGTTTGACCACTGCACGTTTCATGAGCACGGCAAGCTCAAGCACAGATGGCAACAATGTGTTCCAGCAGTCATGTGCATTGGCAAGATGGGCCTTCAAACCTGCACTCGTCATACACCACTGTCCACAGCATGGGCAGTGATGTCTGAGCTCATCACGAAGACCCTGCACGGTCAGTAGACTTTGCCATCCTCGTTCTTTAGCTTGCCGTAGGACCTCGGGACGCTGAAGCACAGGAGTTGTGCTCATCGGGCCCACTTGGGCCTGCCATTCCACAGTGCTTGCCTGCCGTTTGGAGCCAGATCCAGGTTTGTGTAGCTGAAGAGCAGCGGCCTGAGAGGTGTCTGGTGAGGAATTTCCAGAATCAGCATGAACCAGAGGGGCTTTAGACGGAGCCGCAGCAGTCGAGGAGCAAGCATCGGCCAGTTCCGTGAGAGACGTGGTAGGGGCCTGGGCAGAACCATGCAGATCACTGGTAGGCTGCTCAGGAGAAGCAGGGAAGGCGGCATGGTCGAGCGGTGTCACCACCGGCTGAGAGGAGAGAGGAGTCAATGCATGTGCAGTGACCCGAAGGGCAGAGTCCAACGCAACACATCTCCCTTTCTGAATATGGTCCTTAAGCACCGAAAGCCTAGAGCAAACCTTCTCGCAGAGGGCACAAATTGGCATGCCAGCAATGGCGTGAGTCGTGATGTCGAAAGGAACTCCCAGTGCACGCTGGGCGACAGTGCTGCGGTGGTGTGATGCTTGATTGACCCGAAGGGTACGCAGATCTGTGAAAACAGCAGCACACTCTGAACAAGGGAAGAGCTGCACATCCGAATCAACCATTCCTGTGTCGTGTGAGGTGTCCTCAGGAGCAGCGGTGAAGTCACGATTGGTGGAATCCCATCCAGGATCCTGAATGAGAAGGAGGTCACGCGCTAGCAGATCACACTTGTCAACCAGGGGCGCAGACTCCAGTCCCACCTCCACCGCCACAACTGTGCGCGCACGTAGGCTTTCCAGGGCGCGCAGGAGGGAGTCACGCACAGTAGGTACTCCAAGCCTTGTGTGCAGCGTTGATGTACTTTCATATGTGAGATGCGATTGTGACCTGGACACTGCACGCAACTGCCGTGTGTAAACAGCCTGCAACCGACCTAATTGTCTGGAGTTCAATGGTAGGGCGTGTAGACCGTAAAGAAGCGCTGGAGGCAAGCAAGCCCGCCAGAGACAAAGTCTGAGATCCAGTGCCGGAGCCGAGGCCGATGTAAGAAGTGGTCTCAGTTTCGTCCAAGCACTCCATGCAGCAGCAATGCGGTGCTCAACTGATAGGGACACGGCCTGGTGATATGAAATGGTAAGGCCAAGATAAACGTGTTCCTCCTTGAGAGGGATGTCAAGGGACCGTCCAGCCATCCCTGAAAGAAGCCACACCACAAAGCCCGCAACACCCCGAACACAGCCCACACCCGGGGCACTACCGCAGCAAGTCTCAATGTCGCTGTGAGCCTTATACATATATACATATATGCAGATTTAGAACGGAGCGGAGCGAAGTTCTTAATGTTTTATACCTGGACGATGCTTTTTGGCATTGGCCAAAAACTTGATTTCGCAATCCCGTTTTTCAATCACTTGTTTTGAACCATTCTTTTGCAAGTTCCTTTGATGACTCTTATGCTTTGGCATAACGAATGTTGTGACTTGCAATTCTTGATCAAGGGTGGGTGGGAGGGAGCGCCTCCTTGAATGGGCAAATTTGACATGGCCTGGGGGTGCTACTTTGAACAGGTTCTAACGGGCCCTTGAAACGAAACTTTGACGTTTCCTCTCAGAGGGCCCGATCCATGGATGCTGACCTTTCTGGTCACCTGAGAAGGAAGAGGGACAGCAGTGCTTTGGATGATCACTTGATTTATGCTGTCCGTGTTTCTACCACTACATCTGAGAAGCAGCCCTGGGAGAGGGGCGACATCCTGGCGCCTCGATCAGCTTTCTCGTCTCCCTTCCCGAGTGTCGGCAGGCCTCAGGTAGCTGCGCAAGTTCTGCCTGCCCCAAGTTCGTCTCCTGCAGGAGCTGTTACAACTTCTGTGGCTGTTAAAGTATTGGGCAAGCTGCCGGCTACGAAGGGGCCTAGTTGGGAGGAGAAATTGACTGATAACAGGCGGGCTGCAGTGGCAAAATGGGAGGCTCTTCTTATGTCTCACGGCGAGCACTTTGATTGCTACAGGGGAGTCAGTGGCGACGCCAGTGCGGGACGCAAGGCAGATCTGGTTCAGACGCTGAAGGACTGTTTTGCGGGCAAGGCGAGCGCGACTCTGCACTCGAGAGTGGGACCGATGATGCGTTATGTAAAGTTTACCAAATCTGCTGGTCTTGATGCTTTTCCTTTGACTGAGAGCGTCTTATATGTATTCATGGATCAGTATTGTCGGACGGCGGCGGCAACCTTTGGAAGGAGCTTCCTTGAGTCTCTGAATTTCGCTGTGCATGTCTTGGGCCTCGATCTGCATGTGACCATCAGTGGCAGGATACAAGGGGTAGCCAAAACCAGGTACCTTGAAAAAAGGAAAGCTGTCCAGAAGCCGGCGCTTACAGCGCTGCACGTGAGGACTCTTGAGAAGATAGTGATTGGAGGAACCGTTGAAGAATACAGCGGCCGCGACAGACATTGTGCTGGGTTTTTCTGCTATACTTTGTACGCTCGGGCCCGGTTCTCCGATGCCCAAGCCTCGGCTAACCTCATGCTTGATGTCACCGAGAGCGACGACGGGCCTTATGGGTTCCTGGAGGCCTCTGTTACGAGGTCCAAGACGTCGTATACTCTGGAAAGAAAAACGAGATTCCTCCCAATGGTTGCTCCTATTAATGGACTGCTTGATGAGTCTTGGGGGACTGCATGGTACAAGCTCATGAAGGAACAGGGGGTGACCCTTCGAGAGGGTTATCCGTTGCTGTCGTCGCCTGTCACTGGCGGCGGGTTCAGTCTGCTGCCCATCTCGGCCGAGCATGCTGCGAGGATTTTGCGGGAACTTTTGAGGCGCGAGCTCGGTGATTCCGCTGACATCAGAAAGCTTGGAACGCACAGCTTAAAGAGGACCTTGTTGAGCTGGCTTGCTAAATATGGAACTGAACAAGGCGTGAGGGCCATTTTGGGTTACCACAGCACTCACTGTGGAACGGAGTTGGTATATGCCAGGGACACGCTGAGCGGCCCATTGCGGCAGCTTGGATCCGTTGTGAGTGCTGTGGCATTGGATCACTTCCGGCCTGACAGCACGCGCTCGGGATATTTTCCCAGTCGCAAGGGTCGAGAAGATGCAGGCTTCGATCCCAATGCTCCGGAGCAAGAAGAGCTTGACAGTTCTTCCAGTGGAAGTGAAGACGAGGAGGCTCCGGATCACGATGAGGTCGAGAAGGCCTGTGATGCTCTGGCTTCCTGGGAGCCTCGGCCGGGTCTTCGTGATCTGATCGGCGAGGGTCCCGTCTTCAAGCATAAGACTACGAGGGTCATTCATTTGATGGCCAGCAGTGATGAAGGTGATCGCTTTGTCTGCGGTCGCAAGCCGTCAACTAGCTACATCCAGACGGCTGTGCCTAATGTTTTGTTTCCCCTTTGCAGGCAATGCTGTCCTGACCAGGACGGGCCTTGAGTTTCACGCGAGATCGGCGAGAGGTCATTGCAACTTGAGCGGTTGTGCTACCGGTGAATGCTTCCGGCTTGCATGGTATGTGAGGAGCTTCTGTCTTGATGCTGTGCGATTTGCAACCGTGCACCTGAGACGATCCATGCTCTTCTTTGTTAGGACCTGTAGCTGAGTGCTTGGGTCGTGCCATGGCGGCCTCGTACTCAGAGTCCGAAGCTGTCTTCAGCGACAAGGTCAGGACCTCGGGCCTGTCGGCTGCTGACCAGACTAATGACTAATGTGTTGGCTGGACTGAAGAATTTGAAACAGCTGGCATTTGTCAGCTCCTTCACTCCGGGACAAGCCGATGAGAAGCCTTTGATTGCGGCTTTGGATGCTCTAGTCAAAAGGGACACCAGTGCTGACTTAGCTGCTCAGGCGTGCTTCAGGGCTCTTTTCCAGCAGGCTTACGCCATAGTCACCACCGAGTTTAGGCAGGCCATTGAGCGCACTGAAGACGCTCCCAGTCGGTCTCTCAGCGCGCCTGAGCGTGAGGAGCGCTACACGCGACAGGTGAAGAAGTTAACCGGGATCAACATAAAAGGCGAGACTGAACCAAGTCAGGCCTTGGTTGATCTCTGCGTGAATATATATATGAGTCGAACGCTTTGCGCTACGTGGCCTGGGAGAAGTGCACTAGTCGGCTTGCCGAGGTTCAAGGCGATGCCAAAAAGGACACTCGATTCACACTCGATGCTCAGGGCAAGACCTTGAAGCTTGAGTCGAAGGCCCCAGATGACAAGTGTCAGGTCGACTCCGAGGTGCATCTTCTTCAGGCTTTACAGCGCAGAGCCCTTGCCCTGGACCAAGCCAATGTTGTTGATTATGCTGTCATCGATGTCTGGCATCAGAAGTTGCTTAGGGCGCGGATGCAGGAGGTGCCAGCAGGTCATGTCCGGCCCAGCTTCAAGCAGCTCTTGCGGGCCGATCAGAAGCTTTTCTCGGAGTTGCAGGACCGCTGTCGTGCAGAAATCCAGGCCACATCAGCCGGCCGCCCCTTGGATGGCCTGATTCCGTTGGTGATGGATCTGAGTGATGTGGCAGTCCTATTGCAATCCTTGCCTGAAAATGCCTCCTCCTCTTCTGATGTGCCTCCGGGTCCGTGGGTCTCTCGCGAGAGGCCGAGCCCATACACTCGAGAGGGTAAAGGCCGAGGCAAAGCGGGTAAAGGACGTGCCAAGGGGAAGGGCGTGCTGCCTAAGCCGCTTGTGGGCTGCTACAGTTCGACAAATGCTGGCGAACCCATATGCTTCGATCACAACATCAATGGATGCAGCCGGGTTGTCAAAAGCGGCAGATGTGAGAAAGGGATACATATATGTGCCCGATGTCGTCAGAGCGGCCATACTGCTGCTAACTGCCCCAAGAAGGAGTGACTATCGAGTGTGGTCGATGCGACTGCAGATGGCTGGGAATGTCCTCAGCTTGACTCATTGGAGTCTCAATCCCTGAGTTCGGCTAATGAGCTGGACCATGCAATGCCTTGCCCTGTGGGGCCTGCTGCAACATTGGTTGCTGCTTGTGCTTCACTCAATGAGAGAATGCATGATGCCGGTTCGCCCGTGGGCGGTGAACCTTCTGTTGGCGCGCGTGATTGTGCCACCGCGGATCCTCCTAAAAGGAAATCCAATGACAGCGACCGTGAGTCGCCGGGCAAGGCGCCTCGACTTGGAGGCCCTGAAGCCCTTGTGTCTGATTTGCACCGCAAACACTTGTTCGATGCAGCTAGTGTGCTTTCTCTCTTTGACCTTCTGCCAAAGGCTGATATCACACGACTTTCTCAAGCCAAAGGCTCAGTCTTCGCGGTGGGGTCGTATTCTCACGGTCCTATCAAAGGTTTGCGGCATTTCACCCGAATTTATCCCAATGTCTGCCGATACTTGTGTGCTTGCGTCCTGCATGTCCTTCCGACGCACAAATTTTCAAGTCTGCTGATCTCTGACTCGGTTGAAAGTCAACCTCACACTGATCCCAACAACGGCCCGACTTTGAATCTCTTGATACCTCTGACTCACTTTTCAGGTGGCTCCCTGCGAGCCGGTGATTGCGATCTCGACTTCAGTCGGGGTGCCTGGGCTTTCAATGCTCGTGACGGCTGCCACGCCGTGGCGCCTTTTCAGGGTCGTCGGGTTATGCTCATAGCTTTCAGCACCAAAGGCGTATGCGATTCCGACTCTGAGGTGTTGACTCAGCTCCAGTTCTGTGGTTTCGCCCTTCCCAGCGCTGATGCTGTGATGCCCGCGTCTCCAGTGGGCCCTCTACCTGACATCAGGAGCTCTGTCGCTCATGAGCCCCTGAAAGTGCTGAAGCCTTCCCGGCTTGTTGTCCTCGACCTCTTCTGTGGCCGAGGTGCCGTGGGCCATGCGTGTGCCGAGATTGGGTTTAAAACTTTCTGTTATGGGTCCCAGTCTGCGGGCCCTGTCAGGCATAAGGTGTTGCAGCTCAGGCCCGAACGACAATCCACTTGGCAATACTTGCGGCGCCTTGTTATGGCTCACCGGGTCTATCATGTCCACATGTGTCTTGATCAGACCCTTAATTCTGCAGAGCTTGATCATGTGACATCTTTTGTCGCTCACGTGCTACAGCTACAGATTGGACTCACCGCTTGCGGCCCATCCGATAACTCGGCTTGGCAACGATCGCCGTTCAGTGACTCTTTGCCTTCGTGCGTTGGGCCTGGATGCTCACTCGGCCTCGGTTGCAAGGCTGTTTGCGTGGCCTCCACTGTTCTGGCCTGTTCTGATTTGCGTGCTTGCTCTTGCTCTTGCCCCGACAAGGCCTTTGTTCTCGGCAAGGTGTATGCGGAGAACCTTGCCGAAAATCTGCGCTTGCAGGCGGCTGGTGAGGATTTACTTGTTTCCCCCCAATCGGGGTTGCCAGATGCTAATCCTGCCGTGCACAAACAAGCTAAGCTCACAAAAATGCAGCCGATTATGCCCGAGTTCAAATACATGGTCAGCGTGCACGTCGCTGATTGCTCCCAGCTTCGGCTGGATGACAAAAAGTGCCTGCAAACCGCTTTGCAGTCCGTTCCCAAGGGTGCTAGGCTCCTTAGGCTCGCTTTTCTTGGGGGTGGTTCTCTTAAGCCTAAGTCCCTCTCCCCTTTGCCGAGTACCCCTGCCACCGCCACGTTTGGCGTGTTTCGGACTCCTGGTGAGTTCGTTGCTGCCAGCTTGCACCTCGAGCATCCGTTCGACGCTTTTGCACACGTGCCTGATGGTCTCATCAGGAATTTGGGGCGGCTGCTTATCGACGGTCCCTTGCCCGTCATGCGACGCCGGCTTGACCTACTTACCAAGTGGTCTGCGTGGGCCGATGAACTGGCCGAGCCTGAGAGAGCTCTTCATGCTTCGCTTGATCCTAGAGTTGGTGCGGTCCTTTCTGGCAAGAAGTTGCTGTTGCTGGATCGTATCGCCAAATCCCTTGACTGGCCAGACGAAGATCTTTTTAAGGACCTTAAGGAAGGGTTCGGCATAGTGGGATCCGCGCCTGTCACGGGGGTTTTCGCACCATCCTTTAAGCCTTCGGAGTTCACTGAGGAGGAGCTTGATCAAAGATCGAAATTCTTGCGACCGGCCCTGTGGGCCAAGATCTCATCTTCAAAACCTGAGGATTCCGATGCCGAGCTTTGGAGCCAAACTCTTGCTGAGAGGGATCAGAAATCCTGGCTGAGCGGCCCATATAGCTACCAGGAGCTCACTGAGATTTTGGGTCCGCACTGGATACCTGTACGGAGGTTCGCGATTTTCCAACGAGGGAAGCTGAGGTGCATTGACGATTTGTCCGAGAACAGTCGGCCCGAGCACTTTTGCTGTGAGTACGGGTGGGGTAGCTGTAGCTTGCCGTAGAGCGCATGGTTTTCAGCTGCTGTATTCCACGTCGACTTTTCCCTTTTGCTGCATTCCATTTTACATTGCCGATTTTCATGCTTGGATTTCTCTTCTGGATTTTCATGTCGAGCACTTCACATGGCGATTTTGGCATGCAGTCAAGTACAGTGGGCACAGCATACACTTTTGATCATGATCTGGCCGCCGCGGTCCCAATTCCGCGGGCTGCACATGTGAGGCCTAACATGGGCATTTCAGCTGGCAGCAGAGACGAGGGTTTGGAGCTTGTGCACGGGGCTCCTGGGAGCGACAGGACATCGATGGTAAGAGTCGGCACTTCAGTCGCGAAACAATGTGCATCAGGCCTTCACAGTTTCACTTTATCATTTGCGAGAAAACGCTCCTACAAACGTGCCTTGAACAGGGCAGAGGCGAACGGCAGTGCTTGGTACAGGGGTCAATGGCTCAGCTTGGCAACTCTTCGAAAGTCCTATGTGTCCAACAATGCAGCCGCAAAGACCGAAGTGCTGAACATCCCAGCAGCCAGCAGGTCCCAATGCAAAAGTGGATCCAGATTTTCATTGCGGGCTTTCTCCTGGAATTGTGGCGGGCTCAACAACCTTAAGGATGAGCTACACACCTGGCTTCAAGAGCACGGCAGTGATTACAGCATTGTTCTACTGCAAGAGACTTGGTATCGTTCGGACATGGATTTTCTTGACAGGGGGTGGATTTGCATCAACTCGGGCGTCGGTGAGGGAGTGGCGAGAGCGCAAGCAGGCGTCATGGTGTTGCTTCGCAAAGATGTTTTTGATCAGTCGCATGTTCGCTTTCACCATGTAGTTCCAGGCAGGGTGCTTCACGTGCAGGCGCTGTGCAAGGGAGGCTGGGTTAATGTGGTCAACATCTATCAGCACAGCTGGGGCTTGGCCTCGGATCAGGACCGATTGCTCACCAAGCGGGCAGCGATCTGGGAGAAGGTCAGGGACACCTTTGGCCAGATTCCCAAGGGCCACTTTCTCATTGCTGGAGGTGACCTGAACACGTCAGCGAAACCGATGCATCCTTGGATAGGTCGTGGCATGCTGCAGAAGGGCCAGATTTCCCCGGATGCCGAGTGCTTGGAACAGTTGGTGCAGGACTTTCAGCTGAAGGCTGTGAACACTTTTGGTAGGCCCACGGCGTTCTCCTACGTTCATGAAGGCTACAAGGTCCATCGCAAATCGTTTGTTGACTATTGGTTGCTGCGTCAGGAAGATGGCGTGAAGGAGGGCGGCACTTGCCCATTGTCGTGGCTGTCACCCTCAGGCCTTACCATCACCAGGTTCGTAAGACTCCCCGAGAATGGCCAGTGTGGAAGTGCAAATTGTTACAGCAGGCGGCAAAGGACCACCCCGAGAAGGCTGCGGAGTTCCAGGCCATGGTTCAGGAGCGATTGGAGGCAGAGATCGAATACCAACCGCAGTTCTTGAATGACACCCTGTTGCAGGTGGGGAAACAGGTCTTCGATATTCAGCGACCAAAAGTGCAGCCGCCAGCTTGGACAGCAGATGCACACACCAACTTGATTAAGCAGATGTGGTCACATTATCGGTTGATGAAGCGTAGGCGGTGTCTCCCTGGCACTCGGGCCATCTTGCAGGCCTGGCGTCATCAAGTGGCATTCCTTCGGTTACACAGGGCGGTTCAGAAACACAGCCGACAGCTCCGACGATCACATTTTGATCAACTGCTGACGGCAGCCGAGCGCTGCGATCAGGTCGACGGGGCATCGACCACTTTTACTTTGATCAAGAAGTGGGCTCCCAAGCAGGCCAAGAAACGAACACAGCTGAGATCCCCCAACGGCCGACTTTTGTGCCCGGCTGAGGAAGTCAAGGAACTGGCGACATTCTGGAAGGAGATCTGTGCGGGCAGTGATGGGCAGGCTCCACCCAGCCACCAACCACGGCATGCCTATCATGTGTCACGAGAGGAATTACTTCACGCTCTGCAGTCGCTGAAGGGCAACAAAGCGGCACCGGCTCATTGTGCACCACATGCGCTGTGGCAGATTGCAGCAAGTCCTGTTGCCGAGTTCTTGGATGTTCAGGTTCTCAGCAAATGGCGTGACGAAGAAGCCGAGGTCTTTGAGGATTGGTCGGCGTCCTGGCTCACCTTCTTGAACAAAGCTAACAAGCCGGGCAATAAACCCGGAGATCTCAGGCCGATTTCCTTGTTGGAGCCAGCGGGGAAGGCCATGAGCGGCATCATCAAACAACATTTGATGCCTTTCCTGCAGCCTTGGGTTGAGGACAGACATCTTTTTGGGTACTTGCCCAATCGATCGCCGCAACAGGCACTGAGCATTGTATATCGGCATTGTGCCGATGCCCGTGCTCGGGCGAAAGCACAGGGTCGAGATTTGTATGCGATCCGTCAGGGACATCGACGAGGGGGCTGCGCAGGGGGCTTGCAGGTGAGCATCGATTTCACACAAGCGTTCGATAGGGCCAACCGCGCTCTGCTCAACTCAGCCCTTCTACATCTGAAGGTCCCTGATAACCTACGATGCTTGATTATGCAGTGGGTCGAGACTACCACTTTCCATGTTGTGCAGGACGATGCTGAAGCCAAGTTCTCCTCCAGTCGAGGAATAAGACAAGGCTGTCGCTTATCACCATCACTCTGGGTGTGCATCTCGGTGTACTTGCTGCATTTGCTTGAGCAGGAGATGGGGTCCCAATGGTGCAACGATCATCTGGTGGGCTTTGCTGATGATACTCATCTTCGTTGGGATATCCATGATGCGGTGCAGCTACATCAGGCTCTTGCACAAGCACATCGGGCATTACAGCTCCTGGAAAAGGCGGGTCTCAAACTCAGTCGGGACAAGACGGTTTGTCTGCTACGGGTTGAAGGTGTTCAGACTCCACACATCAAGCGGCAGCTCATCGACAAGACCAAGGACGGCCGAGTCCTCAAAATCAGCCCGGACTACATCCTGCCACTCAAACAGGATCACATTTACTTAGGCGCTTGCATCACATATGGGGACTTTGAGCACAAGAACATGCAGCACCGAGTCCATGCAGGCAAAGTGGCATTCCAGCGAGTTCGCAAATTTCTCATGGCAGACAAGGCAGCCAGCATGCAGAAGAGGCTTCGACTATGGAAGGCCATTGTCATCCCAACTGTCATGTACTCAATCACTGCTTCCGGTGTTCTCCCCAAGGGGTTCGACGCACTTCGCGTCATGTTGACCAAGCAAGCGCGAGCCATCGCGCGCAGCCCCAGACACAGGCTGGGAGGTGAAACCGGTGAAGAGGTTATCACGGAATCCGATGAAGTTTTCTGGCGAAAGGTGGCAATGGTCACTCCCGAACAGATGGTGCAACAGAGATTGCAGGCCGCCGTGGAACGCACAACGGAGCTTATGCATCACTTAGCGACACAGGATGTTCGAATCAGCGCGGCTGTTCGGGAGTGGGAGCAGACCATTTTGCAGCAGTTCAAGGACCGTTGCATTCAGAGCGATAGCGTCACTACTGTTCACAAGTGTGATGTTTGCAATGCGGAGTTCGGTGACTACAGTTCTTTGCGGGCACACAAGGCTAAGGTCCATAGTGCGGAGAGGCGGCAGACTGCAGCGCCAACCTTTGACAGGCAACGTCACGGTGTGGATGGAATGCCGACGTGTTCCATGTGTGGGCACAAATTTCTGCGGTGGGCTGATTTGCAGAAACATGTTGCAGGGAACTTTTGTCAACAGAGCACACCCGACACCGAGGCGAGTACCATGGTTGAGGCCAAGGCTTCCGTCTGGGATCAGGCTCGGGATGGTACGCTTCAGCTCGATGACATCAGCTTGGCAACGGTCACCGAGGAGCTCAAGCAGGAACTACTTCAGCATTGTGCATTGTGTCGTCAATGGCAACCCGATCCCAAGTATATCAAGATACATTGGGGGCGAGTTCATAAGAAGGAATGGCAGTCGCACGAAGCTCACACATTGCAATGGCGAAGAGCAACTTTTGCACGCATTACAGGTACCTGTGCATGGTGTCATCGGTCTGTGCCCAAAGGCTCGGTCCATACCGACACATGTCCGGTGTTGTTTCAACTGTCTATGGTTCGTGCGATGGGCAGTGCAGCCTCAGGCGGTGATGTCACCACGGTGAGTGCGGAGCCAGGGCCGGTAGCTGAAGTATCCTTGCCTGATGTACATGCCAGCAAACATTGGACGACCCATTGCCAGTTGTGTCATGAACAATGCACCGCGAGGGGGCTGCGACGGCACATGGAACAACATCATGCAAACATATGGTCCCAGTCGAAGACCGGGGTGGTGGATTTGTGTTCGCAGTGGGCTGCCAGTCTCAAACGTCCGTGTCAGTTCTGTGGAGGCAACTTTAAACGAGCAGCACAGCATGCACATGTTTGTCATGTTCTCTTTCAATCTGCCTTGCAAATTTCGCTACCGGCAGCTCCTCCTGTAGAAGTTCATGGCCAGCATGTCGACGGGGGAGGACCAGTTCATGGACATCTTCGCAGCGACGATGCCGGCGCTTCGGGAAATGGCAGCCAAAAGAGCCGCCGAGCAGGTCGAGCAGAACGGCTCCAACAAGAGGCCGCATCTGGAAGTGACCAAGCAGACCAAGGGCAAAGGCTGGGGGAAAGGCCGAGGCAATCGCTTCAACAACGGCTGGGGGAACCGTTGGAACACACAGGCACCGGCTCCGGCACCATCCACGGTTTCTTTAGAAGATCTTCAGCAAATGATGCACTTGGTTGCTCGGCTGCTGGTTCAACAGGACAACGAGATTCAGATGCTCAAGATGGACAAGCAGTTTCTGCTATATTTCGAGACGGGGCCCCAGGGAATGGTTCACTTGTTTTGGGAGTCGGCACAGGTCTGGAAGAAGGCCAAGGAAGCCCAGCCCCCGACGGTGGACAAATCGTTGCGCGTAACCTTGATTCTGTGCAGGATGATGGAGCTAGAAGGCCGCTTGACGAAGATGCTTGCACACGAGCCGACCAAGGACAACATGATCAAGCATGGTTGGCTCACCACTCTCCTCGGGCAGCCAGCTTGGCCATACATGATTTGGACGGGGGAGAAGTTGGAACTCGACTCCAACAAAGCGGCGATCCCTCACAGCGAGATGACGGAGATCATAAAGGAGATCAAGAAGGCGCTCTTCGACAAGTCCGAAGAACTGGTGCACAAGTTCCACAGCGTGCGCCCGTTGGCGGAGCAGATGGAGGGCGACACATTACCTTTTCTCTTGTCAATCAGCACGAGAGGGGCTCTGGCGGATCGGACGTTCGAGCTTTTTCGAAAGCTGGAGGGCAACACGGTTCTAAGGGTCGTGGGCGCTCGCCTTCGGGGCGAACGCCTCAAGCGGCAACCCCTGGTACATCAACTAGTGGAGGCCATGGCGCAGCTACAGGTGAGTTCGTGACCAAGACGCAGAGGCAGGTCCTTGGAGTGCGGTTGCAGAACAATCACAACGTGTGTTACATCAACTCGCTGGCTCTGCTGTGGGCGTGGGCTTCATCGTTCAGCAATAATCTTGAGTACTTTGCAGGTGCGGCGACTCCGGCTTTCCGAGCCATTCTTACGAGCAAGGGGCTGCTCAATCTTCTTGAGCTACTGCCTTGGCAATGCTTTTATCGCGGATGGCCCAATCTGCGACTTCAGCATGATGTGCAAGAATGGTGTGCTCATTTATTTACTCAGGTGATGCCTCGGTTTTTGAGTGGATCATGGCATGCGAAACTTCTTAGTCTGGAGCTCAGAGACAGTGCCCACACGTATTCGCCTGTTTGGATGACATTACCCTCACATTTACAGGAGTGTACTTTGCAAACAGTGGTGGATCAGTGGAGTGCTCAGGATGCTATACATGCATTGTGCGAACCCCCGGAGGTATTGTGTGTATGCCTCGCAAGGTTCGGCTATAATGGTGATGAGGCCTTCAAGCACACAATGTCGGTGAGTTTGCAAAGCTTGTCCATCATGATTCCCTGCTTTCTGAATGAAAACAGTTTGGAAACCCGTAGTTGTTCATACACGGTTATTGGTGCTATTTCACATTATGGTCAGACCGTCAATTCTGGACACTACAGGGCCATGCTTTACAGTGCATCGGAGTCATGTTGGTACATCACTGATGACGGCTCTCGGGCCAAAAGGGCCAAACACAGCGACATGCAACACCTTTTCAGAAATGCTTACTTGATTTGGCTGAGAGCTGAGGGCTGATGCAGTTTACGGCTCACGGGCAAGCGCGGGTGTACAATCCTCGCTGGACGCAGGAGGTTGTGCATGCTGTCGGGGATGTGGCTCGCCACTCCTACGGGCACCCGTGCTCTCTGCCGCATGTCGCGCCGGACGCGGTGCGCATGCTGAGTGACGGAGCTGCTAGGGTAGGTTTTGGGTTGACTGTAACAACAAGCTCAGTCTTCCCCGTAGGGGTACGTACACTCGTACAGTTGCTTTCGTACAGCTCTTTCGTACAGTTTTCTTGCATTTGATTTCGGACTGAAGTCGTGAAATCAGTGCTCGCTTAGTGCTTCGGCACGGGGCGCTTTTTGTGCTTGCTAGGTGCTACGGCACGGGGCGCAAAGCTTGCAGCCTAGAGCTGCCGTGTGACACACGTAGGCTTACGCCAGGCGACCTTCAGGACGCTGCGCAGTCAAAAAAAAACAGTGTCAACTCGTCCTGGGAGGTGGCAGAAAAGATTGACCTGCGTGCGATGGACGAACTCCTTTGGATAACATCGAGGCTCATGCAATCCATCGTTGATCGAGGATTTGTCAACCTTCGTCTTTCTTCTGGTGAAGTGATCAGCGGCCCTTTGCATACCGTGTGGCGCACGCGGCCTGAGTCCGCGCGCCCAGTCTTGAAGTGCGTGGATTTGAAGTCTGCTTACAAACAGTATGCTATAAGGCCATGTGACAGCAAGAGGTGTGTGGTCAGCCTCCGGCGGCCCTCCGACGGGCAAGCCGTCGGTTTCATTTCACATACCCTACCCTTCGGCTCGCTCGCGAGCGTAGGGCAGTTCAATCGCGTTGCCCGCTTGATTCACCGCATCCTTATTGAGCTGGAGTGCCTGGCCTGTAACTATTATGACGACTACCCAGTGCTCGATGTGAGTATGCTTTCGGCCAACACCGAGAAGACGATCCGCAAGCTCATGCGCCTCCTGGGCGTGATCTGCTCGGAGGACAAGGAGTTGCCTTTTTCTTCGGTGGCCGATCTCTTGGGGGTTCGCTTGGACCTTAGGGCTAAGGATTTTTCTTGCGTCACTGTTGCCAACAAGCCTGACAGGGCTCGCGAAATTTCCGAGTCGGTCGCTAAAGTCCTATCGGATGGCCAGGTGGTGGTCAGAGAAGTCGACAGCTTGTTTGGAAGGATTCAGTATGCCGATTCCCAAATCATGGGCCGCAGGGGCAAACTGGCTCTGAGCACGCTTAGGAAGCTCTCGCGAGGCTCTGGAGTTCATCGACTTTCTCCTACTGGTCGCGAGGCCTTTGCTGTCTTGCAGATGCGCATGGATGCTGGCGAGCCCAGGCGCATACAGGTTGGAAGCTCTGGACCCTCACTTGTTGTTTACACTGATGGCGCGTGCGAGCCTGGTGCTGCTCAATCGCTCTGCACCGTTGGGGGAGTACTTTATGCTTCTTGGAATGGGGCTGTAAAGGTCCGATACTTCGGGGTCACGCTGAGTGACTCCCTGGTCGACCTATGGGCCGAGAGCGGCAAGAAGCACCTGATAGGGCTTGTTGAGTTGTACGCTTTGGTGCTCGCGAGATTCGTCTGGGGTCGACTCCTCGACGATCGAAGGGTGCTTTACTTCATCGATCACGTGGGAGTGCTCGCCGCTACCATCAATTGCACATCTAGGGACGAGCTGTGGAGGACTCTGCTTATACATCTTGAAAAGGCCGATGCCAAGCCTTGCATTGGGTGGTATGCTCGTGTGCCTTCCCAGTCCAATCCCGCTGATCCCCCGTCGAGGGGCTGCTGGATCTTTCCGATGTGCGAACATGCGATCCGGGACCATCCTGCTTGTTTTGCCACGGGCGAATTACTGCGCTCGTCTTGACTTGGGGATATGGTCCTCGCTTCGTGACAATGGTCACTGCCCAATGGGGCGGTTTATGCGATGATGCTTGTGTCATGCAGGATGTGTTTCACGAATGCTCGAATCCCAGATCGCATGTGCGAAAATCCTCACGTTGTGCGTCCAATTTCATATGCTGTTTTATATTCGTCTTCCCACATAAGTGTATTGGGGAATACAGCGATGGATATACGATTGCATTGATTATGATTCGATTGCGGAATCGAGTTCCGGGAATAAGCAGATTTAGAACGGAGCGGAGCGAAGTTCTTAATGTTTTATACCCGGACGATGCTTTTTGGCATTGGCCAAAAACTTGATTTCGCAATCCCGTTTTTCAATCACTTGTTTTGAACCATTCTTTTGCAAGTTCCTTTGATGACTCTTATGCTCTTGGCATAACGAATGTTGTGACTTGCAATTCTTGATCAAGGGTGGGTGGGAGGGAGCGCCTCCTTGAATGGGCAAATTTGACACCCGCCCGCCCAACCCGGGGATATGGTCCTCGCTTCGTGACAATGGTCACTGCCCAATGGGGCGGTTTATGCGATGTTGCTTGTGTCATGCAGGATGTGTTTCACGAATGCTCGAATCCCAGATCGCATGTGCGAAAATCCTCACGTTGTGCGTCCAATTTCATATGCTGTTTTATATTCGTCTTCCCACATAAGTGTATTGGGGAATACAGCGATGGATATACGATTGCATTGATTATGATTCGATTGCGGAATCGAGTTCCGGGAATAAACATATATACATATATACATATATACATCTATACATTTATACATTTATACATCTTCTTCCGGACGCAGCGAAGTGATCCGCCTAGCGAGTCTGTAGCACAGCCACGATTCGGCTGCGGCACCTCGTGGGTGCTTAACTACGGCACCACATCAGGCCATTCTGGCCGTCAATGTCGACTCCATCTCATCCACTTTCTGTTGCCAAAGTCGTAGTAGCTGGACCTGAGTTCACGCGAGTGGCCCAGATAAGATAGGCATTGCATTCCATTGCAGAAAGATCAGAAGCTGTGCACTCCTGCGCTGCGTGGCCATCCTCTGTGATCCACTTGCATCTTTTTCCGTTCCAGATACTGCGATAATGCCCCGAGTCAGCTTGGAGGCCATAATGCACCACCGTCGCAGAAACCTCGAACACATTGTAATGCACTGCATGTGTAGCATCATCCACAAAGTGTGGAATACGAATGTCTTCAAGAAGCCCATCCACACGCATTAAGTCCTTGACGACGTGCTTGCGTCGGCCCTTCCCCACAACATTGAACCTCATTAGCTGAAAAAGCACGACCTTCGTGTTTGGACTGAAGGCATGCACAATGCCAGAGTCGTCCTGAGCATGCCACTGATCAATGAAGTTCTGCAGAGTTGCAGTCCCTGTCATGGGTAGGAGCACCGGTGTATGTGCAGGCGCAGAGTAAAAAATTTGACTCAATGCACCGACAACCTGCCTAGCTTGCCACACTCCAGAGAATCGAGGTGAATGGATCCTGGGTGCAATATGCTGGGCAAACTCAGCTGCATCATGTTGACGATACGGAAGCTGCCAAGGACTTATGAACATGATCCACGCAAGGTGGCTCAGACCTGGCACACATGGTCAGATAGACCTGCCGAAGCTGCCCAAGTTCAGCCTCATCAGAAGAGGCTGAGGCTTGCAGTGTAAACAATAACGCCAGCAGGACGCTGTTCATGTAACAAGTTTTGCTGGTGGGATTGGCCAGGCGAACTGCAAGAAGATTGAGAGAATACAGCAGGACTGGCTGAGGCACTGACCTTCCCACAGGTAATGCTGCAGGGCTTGCGCCAGGTTGGACGTCACCGGGCGGTCCCGGCGGAGGCGTGCTCCGATCAGGTGGAGAACCGCACAGTTGATCAGGGAATTGAATAGTTTCCACATCACATCTCCATCCTGTCTCAGCTCGATTTCCAACGCAAACTGTACCCACTGGGTTTTGTACGTGTTGCTCATCGGGCGAAGGCTGCCAAAGTGGCGGATGGTGGTTCCACTGATCAGCATCTCGATGTCGGCTATGTCCTTGAGTAGGGAGTCCACCGAGCGACTCTCTGTGCGAGGGACCAGAACTTCCTTCTGAGCAGCCGGGTCCCACTGCATGTAGTTCCATCCGCCCTGGGAGTCGATCCAGCCCATCTCTTGTGCCTTGGTTCTCATCTCGGCCATGGACTCCGACGAGAAGCCCTTGATCCTGGCTTTGAGCTCCTGAAGCAGCTCGCGGAGCATGGTTTCTCGTAGAGAGGATTGGACCTGATTGGTGTCCACGAGTTCCCTCCACCGCTTGGCAACCTGGGTCATAAACGGCAGCACTGACCCTGGAGGATCCGGACGAAAGAAGAAGAAGAGCTTCGTGTCCTGTTGCACTGCCTGAAGTTGGCTCTCGTGTCTGAGGAGTAGACGGGCCATTTGACCGAGGATGGGTGGATGATGGCCACTGCTTCCCGCTGGATACGGGGGGGCCCAGTCCGGGGAGCTCCACTCTGCCAGAGTGTTCTGAGGATTTACGGAAGAAGCCCAGAAGGTCGGCTTGGTGGTAGGAGGATTGCCCTTGCCCTTGCTCTTGCCTCTGCCGTACGTGCCCTTGCCCTTGCCCTTGTGTTTGCCCTTGCCATTTGCAGGCGGAGTCCAGTTCGAGGATTGGCTCGCCTGTGGCATGCTCGCATCCTCCTGCACAGAGGCCAGCTGATCTTGACGTGGCCTCTTGGTGGGTCCTCCGGCCTGTGTCCAGTTGCATCAGAAGTGGTAGAGGACGGTTCCTGGTGAGCCGACGAAGCTGCAGCTGTGGCAGGCTCAGCAACATTCCCCGAGTCAGGAGGAGACGATCGCGGCGGTAGTGGTCGAACAGAGCGTAGTACAAGGTCGCCCACCGTCATCTCATTGGGGTACTCCCCGAGCTCATCAGAGAAGGTGGAGAGGGTGGACACACTCTCCTCATCACTGGGAATCTCAATCCTCCTGGCTTTGCTACCCGAACTCCTTGGCCGTCGAGAGTGGGACCGTGCAGTGGCCTCATCCCGCTCAACAGCAGACGGCGCCGGTGCAGGGCGAGCAGCATGGATCACTGCCGACTTCTTGGGACTGGTGGTAGGGCCGGACAAGCCTTGCTCGAGATTTGCACCAGCATCCGGTTGTGACCCCGTAGCTGCCGACATGATGGCAGCACAGTTCAGTCCAGCAAAGGAGGTGTCCTTGGAGTCAGCATTGGGCCCAGTCAGATATGTCCGTATATATACGGTGGCTGGTGGTGGCTTCCTCGTCCTCCATTTCATGAACTTGAGCCTCTGCAGCTCGCTGGCGGCCGTGAGGCGAGCTTCATCGCTCATCGGCGGGCTGAAAGGATCCAGCCAATAGTCCCCCCCTTCCGGCTTGGCCGGAAGACCAAAGCAGCTGCTGGGTGTGTTTGGCTCCGCAGCCCAGGCATCGTCTACAGCTGAGGCCAGACCAGGTCCATCCACGGGATCACCGCTGGATTCGCCACCTGCACCCGGCCCACTGGAGCTGGCCGCCCCTTCGGGAGTAGTGGTCGTGTCGTCCAACTCAGACACCGTGTAGAGACGGTTAAGTTGGCAGGGGCGCTTCTTCTGCCTCTGCCGCCTCCGTTCACGTCTATCCATAAAAACGGGGCTGCAGTGCCTCACGAGGGCCACAAAGAGTGGTTCAGGGCAGGGCAGAGGCACATCCGGCCATAAGCTCCAGAGGGAGCTTAAAATGAAAAAACTGGGATCGGAGTGAATTGAGCCCAGAACGACACCATGGTGGAACACAATTTGTCGAGCCAGATCACACTGTCTATGTGTTGGGCAGTCTGAGCAGCATCCAGGGCACCCGACGTCCAGAAGCGAGGCATACCGCGGCAAGCTCCAGTGCTCACACAGCACCAGGATCAGACCTCGGGGAGCAAAGCAAAAGAGGGCCCGCCACTGGTAGGGTGGCACGGCGAACCGCACGAGTGCAGGCTGCACTTTCATCGGCACAGAACTGCGCGCAAGCCGTGCCAAAGGTATGAGCTCAGCACCGGAGAGAGGTGAGACCTCACAGCCTAGAAATTCACCTGTGTAGTCATTTCGACTGCTGATCCGAGGCAGACGACGAGTGGAGGCGTCTTGGGCTGCGGCTGCGGCTAGTCTGACGGTCTGGCATTGAGCCGCGAGTGTGGGCCAGTTCGTTGTCACCAGACTGGGTCTGTTCGCGCCAGCGTCGGTAAGCCTGCTCCGCGACTTGAGCAGCATATAGGAGGTCCCCCGCTGTAGGAGAGTCGGAGCCGGCATCCTCCTGTCGAGCTTCCACACCTGTTGCTTTACCCTGATCAGGAGATAAGGGCAGAGCCGTAGTATTGGCGTGTGACGCCTGGTTGGTCCCTGACATGGTCGATCTCGGTTGCTCAGCCATGAACCACAGAGGCAGGATGCACAAGGGACTACTTTGGCTGACTCCTGCAAGCACGGTGCTTTGAGGTCCACACGACCAGCACAAGAAGGGAACCATGCACGCCATATCACAGACCGCTGACATGTTGGGAAACTAGACTGGTCGAGGACAGGCAGAGACCGAGGTGCTGGCTTCCACAGGCACTTCCGGTATATAGGGCCCACCTTGGAGGCAGGCTGACAGAACGCGGCTGGATGTGCGACTTGGCAAGTCGTCGTGTACCAAGCATGAAGTGTATCACAGGCGAGACACATAAGATGTAACGACACTTTTTGCACCCGGTGCAGGGGGTAGAGACGAGAACACTCCGGCCAACTGGAAGAGGTGCAGTGTAGCCAGCGATAGCTCCTGCAGGTAGAAGAGAGGACAATCACAGGCCCACATCTAGGATGAAGAGGAGCCATCATGCGTAATGGCCAGTGCTGTGCTTGGAGTCGCCATAGTAAGCATCGAGACATCAATGGGTATCTCCAGGGTGACCTCTTGTCTGCCACCAGAGCCAGTAAGAATTTGCCCCC